ATTAATAGGACAGTCATAAGACAACGATTGAGTTGCCTACTTGCCTTCAAGACCCAATTCTTAGAGGTAAGGGTCCTTTATTGCAAGGGTTGTTTTGTGTTCTTACGCATCAAGGCTTCATATGTGAAATCTTCAACTCGAGAGCTTATGTGGCTAAGCTAAAATACCCAAGCCTTCATCAACGACCTCATGAGGACAAATAGAGAAAATGGAATGCATGTAGACATGTAGTGGTGCCCCCCTTCATCACAAGACTACGAGGTTCTCTCATAAAATTTAATAGTTATAGGTGAATTAGTGAATATATACATGATAAATTATGGGTGAATGATTTTTGATGAAGTAATTTGTTGAATGTGAGACATGATCTTCATATATGTTTTCCATTCTAGGGGTTGGCTCATGTATCTTTATATTGTCATCCTTTAGGATTCATTCACTTCACTCACATTAATAGTCTTTATCATTGTGATTGTGAGGAACTTCTTATCACTCTGGCCATGCTCTTCCCGTTCGTTCAATAATGCTCATCCAGTCATCCACACTCATGTTACTATCTTGATTGATTCTTGCGAGTTTGTCAAGCTAGCTTCTCAAAATGATCATGTGTTCGGACTTCCTTATGTGACTAGGGCCCAAAACTTATGGTCCATTATAAATTTGATGAAGATGTCAATACTTTTCTTCTCGGCCAGTATGGATGTCGATATGTTGTTGCTAGATTTTTTTTGGGAAGGGGATTTTTATTGATAAAAGGGAAAACAGTACAAAGTGAAAAGGAAAGAAAAACACTACAAAAGGAAAAATAGAGGAAACATCTAAAAAATAACTAGTTCCACAGGAAGTCTCTCGATTGAGACCTTGTTCTCATGCTATGCCGCCTTTTTATTCTTTTGAGCTTTTCTGTAAATTTTGATCTGCATATTCAAGTTTTCAGTTGGCAAGCAGTTTTCAATTGAATTTGGAGTTTCCAATTTCATCCTGGTTTGATAAAGGAGGACGACGATCACTTTCAGTCGCATGTCCTAAAAAATCGTTTGAGAAAAAAGAGTCATAAGAAGGCCGGATCAAAGTTGTCTGATGCATCAGAGTAAGCCCGAAGAAGTGGAATTTAAGGTTGTTTCTCAAAAGAGATGAGTTGTTGCTTCTCGCCATAGGCTCTCTGGACTTCATAGTTGAAAATGAGTTTGGAAATGGTGATATCTTTAGTATTAGCCAATGTCTCGTACTCCCGATGCATGGCTTCCTCCAGCTCTAAATAAGATACTCCAACAAAATTAGAAAATAAAGCTAGAAAATCTTTGAGCATTGAGTTGTGCGGACCCTTGGGGACTATAATTGAGCTACCCTTTGAGATGAACATACAACTTTTGTTTAGAGTTCCCACAAACAGCATCGATGTTGGTTTCAGGGGATGAACCCATCACAAAACCTATTTTATATTCCCTCCGTCCCGCTATGATTGTCTCATTTTACCATTTCGGTCCGTCCCACTAAGATTGTCTCATACTTTATTTGGTAAAGTTTGTGTGGTTATAAACCATTCCTACTTTATTCTTACTTTATCAATTTAATATCAACCACATAAACACACTTTTATTAATAACTGTGCCATCTTCTCTTGTCCTAAACTTAGGGGGACGGAGGTAGTACTACATAATTATAAAAGTATATGAAAAGTGACAAGAGTACAAGAGATTTAGAAGTTTTTTATGAATTAATGTCACTTTTGGTCTTATGAATCTTATGTCAATTCCACATTTAGTCTACATCTTTCATTTTGTCTACTTTTGATACTTGACTAATGAAAGTGGACAAAATGATAACTTAGTGTCAAAAGTGTATAAAATGAAATATATGGAGTAAAAGTGAAATTTCTGTCAATGTTTCCGATGATTAAAATCGCCGGAAAAGGATTGCAAATGATCAAGGTCCCAGGGACTGGCCAAATGTTCCAACAAATGAGATTCAATGTTTCTCTTAGAGTATGAGGACCGTAACAATTACGTAGTATATAACTATATATTTAGACATAAATGAAGTAATAATTACGAAGTGTAATACTCCGTATAAGCTAATAAATGAATAACTAGGGATGACAATGGGGCGTGGTTCACTTCTCATCCCCGCCCCATGTCTAAAAAGTCCCCACACCCCCACTCCATCCCCAGCTACTCCCCGACCCGCCCCATTCCCACGTCACCCCATTGTCTCCCACGGGTGCCCCCATATAAATTTTATTTTGTATTATTTGCATATTTTTAAACCTATTTTATAGATAAATATATATGTAGCACTAAAAGAGGTAAACTAGATAATATTGTGTTTAATAAAAGTTAATTCCGCCAAATTTTAATACGAGTAATTCTTTAATTTGAATAAGTTATGTGAAGATAATAAAAGTAACAGAAATTGTCCTAAATAGGACTAATGAGTTCCTAAAAAGCACAAATAGGACTACTACTTTTTAAATTCCCTAAATAGGACAAAACATTGATTTTCTACCCTAAATACCCCTAAGAGTATTAATTCATAATGAAATGCTTTAATTCATAATAAAATCATAAAAAAACGTAAAAAATATTTAAAAAACGTAAAAAAATTATAAAAAATTTATAAAATAAAAAATTTAAATTTAAATTTTTTTAAATTTTTTTTTTAAAATAATAAAAAATAGTAAAAAACCCATAAAAAATGAAAAAAATTATGGATACCTTTCCCCCCGCCGCCTCCCAGCACCACCACCTCCGATTGGTGAAATTTCTTCCACTTTTGGTAAAAAACTGCCATCTTTTTCTGAAAATGCCAAAAAGATGGCATAATTACTCTTCAATATGCCAACATTTTCATTGAATATGCCATCATTATGGCATTATTTAAAATGTTTGCATATTTTTCTCCGGTGATGGGAGCTGGTGGTGCTGGGGTGGCAGGGGTGGTAATGTTTTTTTTTTGTTTTTTAATTTTACGATTTTTTTTTATTTTTTTTAATTTTTTAAAAAAATATTTTTTTTTAATTTTTTTAAAAAATATTTTTATTAATTTTCTATTATTGTTTTACGATTTTTAGTATTTTTTTCGATTTTTATTATTTTTTTATGATTTTATTATTAATTAAAACATTTCATAAGTTACAAGGGTATATTTGTCCAAACACACATAAATAGTCCTATTAAGGGAATTTAAAAAATGTAGTCCTATTTGTGCAATTTTGCCACTTTTTAGTCCTATTTAGGGAATTGACTCTAAAAGTAAAAATGTAAGTAAACATATTATCAACTTTTATGTCTTTACAAATTTCTCATCAATTAAAATGCAATTAATTATTTATATTGTATATATATATATATAGAGGAATGATCAGGTCCATCTGGAGGGACGGGAAGTGCCGTCTGAACTTTACTGTTTGGGGTGGTTCCCGGTGGAATTTTTTGATGAAATTTTTTGAGCATGTTCCTCATCAAGTCTAGTTTATCCATACCAAATTTCAGCTCAAAATTCGACCGGGAAGGCATTCATATAAATTCTTGAAACATACTGCACATTCTGCGCACATATAATGTGCAGTAAGTTTCAAGAAATTATTTGAATGCCTTCCCGATCGAATTTTGAGCTGAAATTTGGTATGGATAAACTAGACTTGATGATGAACATGCTCAAAAAATTTCATCAAAAAATTCCACCGGAAACCGCCCCAAACAGTAAATTTCGGACGGAGCCTCCCGTCCCTCCGGATGGACCTGAGCATTTCTGTATATATATACATATACATATATATATATATATATATATATATATATATATATGCATATGTGTGTGCTATTTTCTCACTTTCTCACTTTTAAAACACATCTAACATTTATGATAAGTATTTTCAGTCATTATGTACTCGTATTAATATTCTAATATAATAATATGCATTAGTTCATTAACCGTGACTAAACGCATACATTTATATATATGTACATGTAATAAAGCGAAGTTATCTTCAAGAATTCATTTGAATGTCTTTCCGATTGAATTGTTAGCTGAAATTTGGTATGAGTAAACTAGATTTAATGAATAAGATTCTCAAAAAAATTCATCAAAAAATTCCATCGAGAACTGCCCCAAATGGCAACGACCGGACAGAGCCTCCTATATAAGGGCTTATTTGACCTTTTTATGTAAGTTCGATGGCCTATTTGACACTTTTCCCAAATATCAATCACTAATTTAATAAAGCGATTACCCGCAGTTGCCCACGGTTATAGCCGTTACCCGTTGAAGCGGTTATGGTTTGGGTAAAAATTACTCATTAGTTAATGGGACGGTTATGGGGCGCGGGAATTACCAAACGGGCGGGTACAATTACATGTAAAACCGTTCCCGATCCGCCGGCGGTCATCCCTACCTATAGCATAGAAGACAAAACTCACAAAAGCAAAGGATTTGGACGCGAGTTATCCGACAAAAAACATCGAGAACTTACTCTGGAAGGTAAAGAAAGAAGCATTTGCACCACTTGAGCTACTACAACTTTTAAATGATGGGGCTACAACATGAAGACATTTTAATTCTCCCTTTCCTATAAGCATCCGGATTCCCACCTCGCTTGAACCCATTGCTTTCAACGGACCTTCAAAATGTGGTGTTGTGGGGACATAATTCCGTTTATAATAGACCCAGTGAGTGATGCAAGTTTATTTTTTCCGTGATCCCTGCACAGTGTGCGCGAAAATCTCGGAGTTTGGGTTTCGGTCTGCTGCTAGCTGCTAAGCTGCTGCTCTTAGTCATCCTTGCTCCCTCCTGTTCTCAAGAATTTATCCAAGATTTCAACATAATTCATTTACAGTATGCATAGCAAGAGAAAGTGGGAGACCCACCATTTGTAGTTTTGGGGGTTTATGTATAGGCGAAAAAGATTCAATCTTTTCGGATTTTTCTTCTGTGGGTAATGTTACTAGGACAGCTATGAGTTGTCCGGAGCTTTTGGGAGGAAAATTTGGATGGTCTAAGCTGCAGAGTTGACTTTGGGGTGGGTTTGATTCTTCTCTGAAGGTACGATCATTGTTTTACTTTCGTTCTTTTCTTGTGTTAAATTCCTACCCAATTGCCCCTAATCAATTTTTGCGTTTCCTGTGTTGGTTGTGCTTGTATGCTGAGTTTTCTTTTGGGTAGTGAAAATGCTCTTCTTGATCTATCTAATTTGGTTTTGCAAATCACACAGAAGGTTTCTCTCGTGGGTACAAACTCTTAGCTACTTTAACTTTACATATTGATAAAATCGACAATTTGGTAGTGGCGTCACCTGTCACATGAATGTTCATCTGCTTGCATTTTTTATCTTCGAATGCTTTAATCCAACTTTTTCATGCTCTCTTCGCCCAAAATAGAATATCTTTATGCTGCAAATGAGGGATGAGTAAAAGTAAGTCTTGATAAAGTGCTAAAGCCTTTTCCTTTTATTGAGAATCATAGTTTCCCCACTTCGTGAATTCACCCATGTATTTTGGTATATTTGTATGTATATGTATATCAATCCTAATCAAGAATATATCTTGTTTGTCCCTTGGGAAAATGGAATATGTTGTTACAAGACAGAACAGGTCTAAGAGCCTGCTTAATTTTCTTCTTTAAATTCGTTCAGTTAATTTGGTGCCATTTTGGGTGTGCTTTCTAATTTATAGTATCTATTAGTTAAATACCAACATCCTTGACTGGGATGAGGTTCGACTTTGTGGCCTTCTCTTTGAGAGTGTCATTGGGATTCCGTCGAACCACAAGGAGCTTGGCATTTGGTGCTTTCTTTTAATATTCTTGATCCTTAGGAAATGCTCAAATTGCTTATGGTAAAACTATGGCATTCACAGAGCCCATTTTGTAAGGGCTGTATGTCTGAATTGAATGAATTTTCTGAAAGGAAAGTGTTTACTAATATCCATGTCAGCAAAATAAGTAAGTCAGGACCTACTTGTTTTGTTTATTCTTCTGATAAGAAATGGGGCATTAATCTTCTTTTCTTTATCTCCTGAGAATATTCATGTGTTGAACTTAAACAATTAAAGCAGGCACCTTTCTTGCAGCAAATGGAGAACTTGTGACCAAGAATGGATCCCAAGTCTTTCATCAGGTTATCAATAGGATCGTTGGGATTGAGGATCCCCCAACCGGCCTTAAGCAGTCCAATATCTTCTTGTTCATGTGAGATCCGTCTTCGAGGTTTTCCCGTTCAGACAACGTCTGTTCCCTTTTTACCCTCACCTGAAGCTGCCCCAGACTCTAACAGTACAGCCTCCAGCTTCTATCTCGAGGACTCGGATGTAAAGTCACTACTCCAGCCCGGCTGCTTTCATACCAACCACACCTGCCTGGAGATAGTTGTTTTCACTGGGCAGAAAGGTACCCATTGTGGGGTTTCTATCAAGAGACACCAGATTGGTACATTTAGGTTGAAAGTGAGTCCTGAGTGGGGTAAAGGAAAACCAGCTGTTCTTTTCAATGGTTGGATTGGGATTGGGAAGAGCAAGCAGGGTGGCGGGAACACGGGAGTGGAGCTTCATTTAAAGGTGAAGTTGGATCCCGACCCAAGATATGTTTTCCAGTTTGAAGAGAAGACTAAATTGAGCCCTCAGATAGTTCAGCTTCAAGGAACCATCAAACAGCCTATTTTCAGTTGCAAGTTCAGTCAAGATCGGTAATTATTTGCATCTTTTTTTGCCTTTTGTTATTATTAGACACCTTTTTACACAAGGCGGGTCCTCCTGTGCGGCAGGTTGCGTGACTAATCTAAGTCACAGATGAGTGTGTCCTGCATTTCTAGCGGGGAGGGAATCTAGTTGTTTGGCTTTCAGCGTGTAATACTGAAGTTTGATGATGATGATTATGCATATTAACAGTGTTCTAGTTTACCATTTTACCTTCAATATTTTTCAAATCTGTAGCTATGTTTAATACATAATCACATTTGGTTGTTCCTATGGTAAAAATTCTCGTCTAAGTGTCGAGCCTCATCTAAGTGTCGACTTATCCTCGCATAGGTACAAGGTTGTTCTTGACTGACTATTTCTTCCCCTGCTTAGGGCGCTTTAATTAGACCTAGATCTTTCATGTAATCATTTGATAAAATGATATGTCATCTCACATTGGCCAATTAGAAATATTAGGAACTCATTTGGTAATGGCTGAATCTGCTGAAATCGGTACAATTCTAGCTGAAACAGCTAAATATGCTGAATTGTGCAAAAATGATATTTAAAGTATTTTGTATTAATAAAATAATGGAAAACACATATGAAAAAAATAGTATAAACAGTTTTTTATATAAGGTCTTGGATGTCTTAATAGATCACAGAACCAATTAAGCTCCAAAGAGATTATAGTCCATGGCTTAATGTGCAGACCCTATCTTATTCTTGACAGTTGGCACACCCAATGCACAGCATTCCTTAATGTAAATGCTCAAAGTTGATTTGAAATGACAGGGTCCTGCAGGTGGATCCCCTGAGCAACTTTTCGTCTGCTGGTTTCGTCGATAGCTCCTACCTTGAAACAGAAAGAAGGGAGAGGAAAGGGTGGAAGGTAACCATACACGACCTCTCTGGATCAGCTGTTGCTGCAGCCTTCATAACCACGCCATTCGTGCCGTCAGCGGGTCGTGATTGGGTGGACCGGTCCAACCCAGGAGCTTGGTTGATCGTCCGGCCCGATCCGTTTACGCCCGACAGCTGGCAACCATGGGGGAAACTGGAAGCATGGCGGGAACGCGGCGGAATAAAAGATTCTGTCTGCTGCCGCTTCCGCCTTCTGGCTGAGGAAGGTGGCGAGGATCTTATCATGTCAGAGATACTCATCGGTGCCGAGAAGGGCGGGGAGTTTTACATAGACACTGAGAAACGGGTGGTGGGTCCGGTGCCGAGCCCAAGAAGTAGTGGTGATGACTTGTCGTCAATGTTGGGCCCCGTTTTAGGCGGGGGGTTTGTAATGAGGTGTAGGGTGCAAAGCAAGCTGGTAGTGCAACTGGCGATGAGACACGTGACTTGCGTGGAGGATGCCGCCATTTTTATGGCACTTGCAGCTGCTGTTGATCTTAGTGGTGAGGCGTGCAGGCCATTTCGCAGAAGGCTCAGGAGAGGCACCAGTCGCCATTCGTGGTGATATCCCAGTGGTTATACACGCACAATACTCCCTCAGTCCCTTGAAGCATGAACGGTTCTGGCAAGTTGTGTTTGTAACTTTTGTACACTTTTGGTACAAAAGTGCTTGATATAATTCGTGTTATATTTCTACCTATGTCATATTTTTACGTAAATTCCATTAAAAAGATGTAAATATGTATATGCAATATGTAAGAGATTTTAATATAAATTATTAATATTTAATGTAAATGTGATACATTATAATGTAAATGATATTATGAATTATGAATATTTTAAAAGCACGTGATTAACTTGTAAATGTAATACTCCGTAGTATTTATTATTGATATAAAAGCTAATGTTCTATGCAAATGACTTTATACCAAATGTAAACTACACCTGTTAATATATAGGTCTCATTATGTAAAATGTAAATTGCATGTGTCAAATAAATAATAAGAAATTAATATAAATATCCCGAAATTTTGAAAAGGTGTGAGATAAATACCCCAAATATGCATATGTAATATATATACTCCCAACTTCAAATAAAAGTTATTGGGAAAACTGTCAAATAGGTCCTCGTACTATTATGAAAAAGTCAATTGGATCCTCGTACTTTTTATTGAATCAATTAGGTCCCCGAAATATTATAAAACAGTCAAATTGGTCTTTTAGCCGGTTGATAACCGGTCAACCGGTAGAATACACATGTGGCAATCCACGTGGATTTCCTCCCCCGTTTTCCTTTCTCCCTTTTCTCTCTTCCTCGCTGACCATTTCTTCATCCATGCGCCCTTCGTTCTTCTCCTGCGCATTTCTTTCTTTCCAGCAAATTAGAACAACCCTATGCACCCACAACTATCTCAACCGCCGGAGACAGACCATGACTTTCCCAACCTCCGCCGGCGCTCATCGCCACCGATGTGGGCAACTTACCCAGTCGTCATCGACCTTCGCCCAAAACGTCCTCGATCTCGAGTCTCGACGGCCGTCTCGAGTCGCCTCGGCCGGTTGAATTGCCCACAACCATCTCCATGCTTGCGCGCCCTTCCCGTCTCCCTTATCTTTCACTGCCCGTCGCTCGTCAGCAACACCTCCCCAACCACCTTTGCCCGCCGCCCACTTAAAGAAAGAAAACCTGGAATGAAGGAAGAAATAAAAAGCAAATGAAAAGGAGAGAATATGAGGTGAGGCAGGAAACCAGGGGGGAGAAACACGGAAAGAAAGTGAACAGTATTACGCAAAGAAACCAGAACGGGTTGACGCATCCAGGAAGAAGAAGCTAGCTGGAAATGAAAAAAGAAACAAAGAAAAAGAAAAGGAAAAAATAAAGTTCATTGACACGTGGACTTCCCTATCACCTTTAACCGACAATACCTTTGTTCAACCGGCTAAATGGAAGAATTGACTGTTTTTTAATACTTTAAGGACTTGATTGATTCATTAAAGAGTATAAGGACTTAATTGACTATTTGACAATAGTAGGAGGACTTATTTGACAATTTTCCCAAAGTTATTTCCGCACCATTATTATGTTTTTTATCAATATAAATTTGTTGCAACAAGTTCACTAATTAAAGTGCTCTAGTCTAGTACAATCTAATTATAATTTCATCATCCTAAATGTTTTCTGTATTTTAAATTATATACTTAACATCACAAAATTACATTAGTGAAAAAACATATTATTATGGTAATATGGTACTAATATAACTTTTTATATAAAGATTGAAATATGCGTAGTATCTATTACATGCACAAGTTTGGAGTACTTACTTCACACTCCTTCAAAATTTGGGATATTTAAATTATTTCTCAATATTATAATTAGTACTACGTACTATCTATGTTTTCTATGTAATTATAAATTATAATGAACTTTGCTGAATTTCAAACCTGAATCACGTTGACTAAAAAATACTCCGTATAAGGTAAAGCTAAAAAAAGTTACATACTTTCAAATATAAATACAAGTTTTTGTTTTAGATTTAAAATAAAACTTTAGTTGGATTCTAAGCATTTTATAAAGAAGATAAATTGAAGAAAATTAAAAAGAAAGAGGAAGAGATCCCCAAACACAATCGCAAAAGAGGAAGCGGCTAGAGAGATGCAAACCTAGTTTTTTAATAAGCTTGTTATAATAGACTCGATGTACCATGGGCACGATATAAGATCTCACTTTATAATTTGTGGTGATATACATATGTGCCATATGGTGCTCATTTGTTTCCATAAACTAAGGAGTAAGGAATGAAGTATCGTTTCTACAATTTGTGGTAAATGAGATGGTAGATTGGTAGAACTAAAAAGGTGCCAAGCTAAAAATAAGACTAAAACACCCTGGAATTAATATGAAAAAGGGAAAAGGTGCAAATAGGCCCATGTACTAATCAAAAAAGGTCAAATAAGCCCTTATTTAGGAGGCTATGTCCGGTGGAATTTTTTGATGATATTCGGGTGGTTCCCGGTGGAATTTTTTGATGAAACTTTTTGAGCATCTTATTCATCAAGTCTAGTTTACTCATACCAAATTTCAGCTAAAACTTCAATCGGGAAGGCATTCAAATGAATTCTTGAAGATAACTGTGCTTCTAACTGCGCAGTTATTTTCAAGAATTCATTTGAATGCCTTCCCGATTGAAGTTTTAGCTGAAATTTGGTATGAGTAAACTAGACTTAATGAATACGATGCTAAAAAAATTCATCAAAAAATTCCACCGGAAACCACCCCAAATCGCGACGGCTGGACAGAGTCTCCTAAATAAGGGCTTATTTGACCTTTTTTGGTTAGTACATGAGCCTATTTGCACCTTTTCCTTATGAAAAATAAAACCCTAATTCTATCCCCTACCATCAGTGTCTTTTACGCAGCCCATCTCGCCGCCTACACTGACATGGCTAGTGAACTATAGTGATTTTCGCTTTAATGTACTCAGTACTTACTTACTATAGGGAACTACGGAGCCACGGAGGGAGTATCCCATATTCCATTCCTCACAAAAACAAGAACTTAATATTTTAACAAGATCATTATCTAAATATCATTTTCTCAATTATGGTACAAACTCTCTTCTCCCAGAATGCCCCAACACATTTCTGCCAACTAAATATACAAGTGTTTTATGTTTATATATTACCATAATAATGCATATACATCTACCTGAAATACATGTGTGTGTGCCTGTGTGGCTATATTAAGTAATTTAGATGATCAATCATACATTCTTACATACACAACATTAAGGTTCTATATATTCATTCAAACAGGACAGGAAACTACTACTAGTACTGCCTAGTATTTCCTTTCCCATTTCCCTTCTCGTCTCCCCACATCACGTTCTCTCCGTTCCATGATCGGTCTAGTAGACTTTCCACCCCCCCTTGATCCTCCTAGCTTTTGGGAAGGCCCAAAATTCATAGACCCCACGCCATCAATTGCTGATGCCATGTCAGCATCCCCGACACTTCCCGTGTCATCAAAGCTATCATCATAACTGTTTCCAACTTCATCCGGTCTGTCACGGGATTGAAGGATGGTTGGGGGTTGGGTTGAGATCTGTCTGGGTCCCACTAACATAACTGTCGTCTCAGGCGGATTAGCAGCAGCTTTCAACAAGGTCCCTTCATTTACTGGTCTACCGTTTTCTCTTTCTCGATATCTTTCCCGGGGCCTACATGAGACTAATCAGTCAGGAGGATGTCACACACAGCATTTTGGTGTGTCAGAGTTTAGCATCATGTAGTACGTAGTAATTTAATACTCCCTTGGTCCTTGAAACATCTCAAATGAACTGAGGAGTTTGCTAGTTCAAACTTATTATAAGTACTTGTCTATTTCAATCTCAAACCAAACTAGACCAAATAACAGGTCTTAACTCCTAACATGCAATCCAAAAGTTCGCCACTATCAACTTAATTAAATGGTGGAGCCTTTATATGTGTATAAAGTTGAAAAAGACCAATAAGTTGAGCACTTGCCTACTATGTGAGGACGAAAATTCACGTCTTGATGGTCGCAGTCCAGATTCTACTTGCTCAAGTTCCCTCTGTAGATCTCTCTGTAGAACAGTAAAATATGACCGTAATCGCCATCAATGTTGGTTTTCATGCAAGGTTGTTAAAATCGTTTTTTAAATCGAATCAAAAGAGATTTTTGAAAATCGAATCGTTAAATTTAATAGTAAACCATTACAATGTACATAACATATATTAGTATTTACATAATAAATATTAAATAAAAGCGACAAGTTAATATTTATAAGACTAAGCCATCTAATGACTTCAAACTGTACATATGAGCTCATAAACAAAATTTATACTGTTTTTATAATGTAAATGGAGCGAATATAAACATCAAAACTAGTTAAATAATACAAGTATCCATTACTTTCACTAAAAATATTATTGATCATACTATTAATGGAATTATACATCAAAATATAATACTCCCTCCGTCCCATAACATTCTTCCCACTTACCTTTTGGGATGTCCCAAAAAATTCTTCCCATTTCCCGTTTTGGAAGGTTTTTTATGGCTAACATTCATTTACCTTTTTCTTACTAAACCACAACCATGCATTTCCACTTTATTCCCACTTTCTTAAACTTTGATCCAAGTCAAACCGGGAAGAATGTTATGGGACGGGGGAGAAGTTAATGTTAATACTTTCAAACAATTTTTTCAAAAAACTCATCACTATGATTTTGTTACGCTTTTGCTACGATTTTAAAAGATTTTGTACGATTCTATTACGATTTTGTATGATTTTATGAGTTATGATCTTGCCTGCAATTCAAGTCAATTTATTTCTATAGATTGTAGAATCGTAAAATCGTACAATTTTATGATTTAAATCGAGATTTTAACAACTTTGTTTTTAGGAAAACATTTCCCCAGTGGTCTCAAGTGTTTTTCACAAGAGAACACTAAATATTTTCCCGTGTTTAGCACCCCAACATATTCACTTGAAGGGAAATATTCTCTTGAAGGAAAACATGATGTCATTTTCATGAAACAGCTAATGTATTCAATTTATGAGGATTACACATTATATTATAGAGACCTTATTTTCCCGGAAAAAGTTTTTGCCAAAATTATATTTTACTCTAATTTGGCTCACTAGAAATAAATGGGGTTTTACGGGGACATCCAATAAAAAGAAATAAATGGAGCCTTAATTGCAAATCCCGCCAAATGAACAAAAAAAAACTAAAGGGTGTACTTGTACCTGTGTTTGCCTTTCTTTCTCCAAGTCAAGGTTGTGCCTCAACTCCTTGGTTTTAGCACGTTCAAGTTCCAGCAACCGCTGTCTCTCAA